CACAAAATGTGGTGCAAAGCCACAAGCTCTTCCCCTATGCCTTGTATCGTGGCACATATGACATATTCTGCTGTCATATGACAATTAGCAAAAGTGAACTTTTGGTGTGCGCCATCTCCTCATACAATGTCTGATTAGAGCGATTCAAGCACTCACACAAAACCTATTTCATAAGCTAACTAATGAGAAATGTGATCCAACTGTTTGATCTAAATTTAGATACCTAAGTGTAAAAAGCTACTTTTTGTAAAAATTTCAAGCATCAAAGTGTTCAAATCATACTTTTTGTCTCATTAGGCCATTTTGAGCTTAAAATTAAGTCCAAAAGGACCATCTATACCCGATTGACTAATAATATCATCATACATACATACATATATATATATATATATATATGAAGATTTGGCCATTAAATTGTCCTTTTTACAATTACATACACTTGACCAATTGTTAGTACATTTATTACTAAATCACCACTTTTACACACATTCACACTTACACATGAAACAATCTTAGCCCACAATCATATTTCACAACATGTAGCACATTTAAACATCATTATGCTAAAGAAATTCCCCACTTACACATTTATAATCAAATCTTAGCTTATTCTCGCATATTTCACCATATGTCACACACATTCACAAATACAGGGTTAAGATTTACAAAACCATTACTTTTCATAGATAATCATGTGCACATGAATCATATAACAACTTACTCATTTACAAATATACAATAAAACAGATTCATTACACAATCTTTTGATTTTTGTAGCAATAGCACTACTATGACAACCTTGAGTCTTTCCCTTAGGTCGACTTACTATCAGAACTTGTAAAAATATAACGACGGGGTGAGATAATAATCTCAGTAATAGAATGACTCTTTACTACTAACTATCATAGGTAATTATAAACAAGTATTGCATATACGTAATTAAATAAAGCATATAATATAATTTTACAAAATCATTTTTCATAATAAATTATTACCACTAGCATAATCAACTATCATCCGAGCCTTCGTATCACCCCAACTGAAATCATAAGCTCAATTAAGCCAATATATACTCATTGACCTAAGCACACCTTTAATGGTAGAATCACTCGGTGAAAGGCATTCTATTCTACTTTTAAACTATAATTTCCCTTATCACGCACAATGATTGAGCTGTCGTTACTCCAACACCATATCTCACAGATGCTAAGGAGCTCTGATCTCCAATACTGCACCCCACATAGGCACTAAAAAGATAATCTCCAACACTGCATCTCAATACGTACTAAGAAGATGAAATTCTCTAACGCCACACCTTGTCAAGCACTAAGAAAAATAATGCTATATGGACTTCTCACTACGTCTCTCTATGGGTGAACTCTCACTCCTATGATCATACTTACATATCAACAAGCAGCTTGTATTCAAATTCACATAGATATAGTTATATAATTGTATATTTTCATAAAATCCATTTCTTTGAAATCCTTTTTTCATGTACAAACATTTGTTCTTCTCAGAAACATGCATAATCTAGAAATAATTTTATGCATTAGTTATAATACTTAGAAATAGTTACAGAAAATAATCAAGTAGAGAAAGTTATTCAGTTATATCAACCATTTTGTCATAAGAAATGGTTACCCATAGATTTCTTATACACGTAATGTAGAGTTGGGAATTTGGGCGAGTCAGGCCTATTTGGGCTCGCCCAAATAAGACCGACCCGAATAGGTCCGAACCCAAACAAGCCCGAATAACTAAGCTCGGCTTAAATTCTTTAGCTTCGGGTGGCCTGAATCCTAAATTTTGTTTTAAAAATCATTTTAATTAATTTTTTAACTTTAAAATTAATTATTTTATTTTATAAAAAATATAAAATATATATTTTTGATACTTAAATGATGTATAAAACTCAAATATATGATATTTTAGCATAAAATGACTTACAACTTAAAAAATTAATTAATATTTATTATATTTTATATATTTTTAAAAAATAAATTTTGTTATTCAGGTATTTAGGCCAAACTTAAACCCAATCAGGCTTGGCTCAAATTTCTTCAGGCTTATTCGAGCTTGGCCTAAATTGAATAGGCTCGAACATAAAATAACTATAACTTTTCAAAGCTCGGCTTTAAATTTTTTCGGACAGGTTCAAGCTAGCCCGTCAGGCTCGGTCGAAATTACTGGCTCTAACGTAATGTCTCCACATGCTTCCTCTCTCAAGTTACATGCACCACACAACAATTTACATATAATTAGCACTATTAATCAATTAGTCAAATTGACCACAAATATTAATTATCACTAAAAACTACATTTAATTATCCTTTCTTTTACTTAGTCAATCGAGGCTCATTACAATACAATCACCCATTTCTATCACTCCTGTCAATCCCAACATACCTCCTTCACAACTTCATTCCTATCTTCCTTTAGTTAAGAGCTAATTTAAGTTTACAACTTCAAAACTTTATCGTTTAACTTTAAACTAGTAGCAAAACCTTAATTCAACTTCAGAAAACTTTTTCATTATCAAAGGGTAAGGAACAAATCCTTTAAAACTTCTCAATTTAATTTTTCTATAACTTACACTAAAAAATTAGGGTAGAATTGAAGCTAAAGACAGTACAAAACTTACCCCATAAGTTATTGGTTAAAAATATCTCCTAAGGCTCCAGCAATCCTTGCTCTAGCAGAGGTTCTACCACTTCTCCTCTACCTCTTATGTTTTCTCACTTTTCCTCTCTAGTTTCATGAGCTTCCACATCTAATTATCCACTTTTCTATACCGTGTGCCATGGCACATGCATCACTAGCAATGGCATATGGCACAATGAGAGAAATCCTTATTGCACTTATATGCTTTACTTCAAAATATAATCCTTTTACCCATATCTGCTCATTCAACATTTTAAAAAGTTAAAATACCAAATTGTCATCCAAAATCCTAATCACTTACTAATATACTAATTTACCCCTAATTAGCAATCAGTTTCAGATTTAAAAATTCAGGACGTTACACTTATAATCAAGAACAAATAATTTTTTAATAATTTATATTTTGTGGCATATTGGATTTCAAAGTGGCATCACATTCCTAAGTGATTGTGTGGGTTCAAAGGGTTGGCTGATTTTGATTCTTTGGCACCTTTAGGTCATATCAAGAGCACCTTAATTAACTTTATAATTTAAAACAATTCATTAGAAACGAAATGATTTTAAAATATCATCTAATGAGATAGGATTTGCACACTAAATAGTATATAAATAAACTTAATTAATTCTTTAATTATTCTAAATAAAACCATTTCAAATAAGATTCTTAATTAATTAATATACTAAAATATTGCAAAGTCATGGTTAGTGATCTGGGAATAGTTCATTCACCTTAAAATCAACAATCTCATGAGGGAAGAGTGGTGGATGACCATCCTACATGCAAGTCCAAACATCACTATCCGACATGGTCTTCAGAGTGAACTAACAAGGATACAGAATGAAACTCAGGGAGCCTGGTGTGTGAATGAGTTTGATTCAGGGGATGAACGAGTTTGACTCACTATCCTGCTAAACGAGTTTGACTCATCTCGACCTCAAACAAGCCTTTTAGATTCATTGCGAGATAGGTTTTGCATGAAAGTTTTGAAAAGCTGGTTCAGGAGAAGTGGGATCGTTCGGAATCTTGGTGTGGCAAGACTTCTAATTTTGCCAAAGTATGCACCGAGTGGAATGAAGAACTATTCAGGCACACAGCTTCCAGGAAAAATAAGATATTAAGAAGATTGGAGGGAATTACGAGAGCTCTCGGTGATGTCGGAAACAAGCGCCACCTTGAATAGTCACAATCCAAACTCTGACTAGAAATTAAAGTAGTGCTATTACAGGAGAATCTAATATGGGCCTAGAAAGCCGAAAATAATTGGGCTTGATGGGAAACAAGAATTTCACGCTGGCGCTAATGGGTGTAGAAGAATTAATCGAATTGGTGCACTCCAAAAGCATGATAGGGAATGGGTTTTTAATGTTGAAATTTTAAAATTTATTCACTGAGGAGGCTACTTCTCAATCAAACTTTGATCTCTCGTGTCTACTACCCAACTATTGAAGAAATGATGTCGAGTCATTTTGGTCGTACCATTGAGGATGAGGAAATTACTGATGCCATTAAGAGCATAGGGGCTCTTATGTCTCTTAGGTCAAATGGTTTCAGTGCAGTCTTTTACCAAACCCAATGGAGTCAAGTGGGGGAGTCTATTATCCCAGCAGTCAAACATTTCTTCAACAATCCACATGAGATCAAAGAGGTGAATGGCACACTTATTGTCTTGACTTCAACAAAAAACAAAAAAAAAATCCCCCGAGATGGTATGTGATTTACATCCTATTAGTTTTTGTAATGTTATATTTAAGACTATAACTAAGGTTATTACTAATTAGATGAAGTCTTTTCTCCCTGAGATCATATTACCTAACCAATGCAGTTTTGTTCCTGAAGACATAGCTCCAATAATATTATTGTGACTTGGGAGGTGATTCATTCATGAGGAAAATGCAGGGCATGCGTACTTTCATGGCCACAAAAATTGATCTGGATAAGGCTTATGACAGGTTGAATTGGAAATTCCTAATGAACTACATTCAGGAATTATGTTTCCCTCCTCAAAGTATTGATGTTATTCACCATTGTATTTCTTCCTCTTCTATGCAACTTCTTTGGAATGGTAACAAGTTCGATTCCTTTGTCCCTTCTAAAGGAGTCCAATAAGGTGACCCGATATCTCCATACTCATTGCCATTTGTATGGAGAGATTTGCTCATCTGATTCAGCAGAGTTGAAGATGGCATCTGGCATCCTATCCTCCTTGGGATAGACGGCCTTCGAGTGTCCAATCTATTTTTTGTAGACTACATCATTTTGTTTGAGGAAGCTTCTCGTTTGTAGGCTGAAGTTATAAATGACTGTTTGAAGATGTTTTGTGAAAATTGAAGGTGAATGCAACTAAGACACGAGTTTCTTTTATAAGAATGTTCATAACATTCGAAGGAAAGAACTGAGTTCGATATTGGGCTTCTCCAGAACAACTGATCTTGGACGCTATATAGGAGTTCTCGATTGCATTCAAAAGCAGTAGATAAAAATACATTTAGGGATATTATTGATAAAGTGAAGAAGCGCTTGTCTTCCTGGAAGGCCACGGCTTTGTCTTTAGCTAGATGTACAACTCTCGTCTTTGCCATGACCTCAGCCATCCCTAGATATACCATGTAAACTGCTTTGTTACCTGTGCAAACCTGTGAAACTCTTGATCATCTGAATAAAATTTTCATATGGGGGACTATCATGGAAAAAAAGAAAATCCACTTAATTTTGTGGAATGAAGTGGGGAAGAGCAAGAAAAATGGAGGGTTAGGGATTAAGCATGCTCGGTCACAGAATCAAGCATTCTTAATAAAGCTTGGCTGGAAGCTCATGAAGCAGAAAGATGATCTCTGGGCTAAAGTTATTTGGGTAAATATAAGTGCGGGAATGACTTAGTGCCCGTTATTAAGAAGTCTAGATCAGGATCCAACATCTGGTTGGGCATTAAGGCAACGTGGGATAAAGTTCTTGAGGCATCAGAGGTTGTACAGGAAGGTCGAGAGGTTCGATGGAAGCTAGAGAAACTTGGAGATTTCTCAATCAAATCAGCTTACCAATACCTTAGAAAAGAGGATAGCATCAGAGATACCATATGGGTTAACCTCTAGAAAATGAATGTCCCACACAGGTGTAAGTCTTTCATGTGGCTTGTGCTGCATAATAGGATCCTCACTAATGAAGCTTGAGTCCACGGGAGATTAAGCATGGATGCAGGCTGCCAATGGTGTCCAGATATTAATGAAGATGTACTCCACATGTTTACGAGATTGTCCTCGGACTTACCAATAATAGAGCAAGATCGTCAATCCTTTTCATAAAGGAGTCTTTTTCGGCTCTAATCTTGCACAGTGGCTACGGCAAAATTTGATAGGTCCTGGAAGCCATATGAACAAGGAATGGACTTGCAGCTTTGCTTTAAGTTGCAGGCAAATATGGCAAAGACAAAATCTGCATTTTTTTAAAAAGAATAACAAAAGCAATGAATCTCTTCAAGCTCGTGTGGAATCAATCAAGTTGAATATGACAACCCAGAGATTGTTAAGGAATGCCAACCTCTTAGGGAAAAACATGAACGCGTCTAGAGTGCATTGGCAGGTTCCTCCTCATAATTGGATTCTTGTGAATGTGGATGGGGCCTTCTCTCTTACCACTGCCAAGGGAGGAGGAAACGCATTCGGTGCTCATCACTCCTATGGGGTGATTTGAGCCTTTTATTTCTCTTGTTGTTAATTTAAAATTATTTTTTAAATATTTTAATATTATATTTATAAAAATAAAATATATAAAAATTATAAAAAATTATTATTAAATATGGATTGTTTTTTATATTATTAGAGGATAATAATACTCATCACTTTGATAAGATTTGAATAATCTAAATTTAAGCTTTTTACTTTTATTTTATTGTTGTTGAAATAAAAAAATGTAAAAAAATATAGAAATCTATAATAAATTCCTTTATACCAATCTGGCCAATACAGATTTAATCTAAATCACCAAGTTTAATATTATTTTTTAATAATTTTTATAAATTAACTATTCAGATGTATTCTAAACAATATAGATATAATTTGAAAGGTCCAATTTAATATTAAAAATTTTATAATTTTAATTAATTGATCATCTAGATATATTCTATACAAATCATATTTTATATTATAATTTTTTATAACTTTTACTTTGATAAATAAATATAATATAAAAATATTTAAAAAATTAGTTTTAATCAACAGCAAAGATCATTTTAAAAAAAAAAACAAAATGAAGGGCCCACATCGCCCCATAGGTGATGAGCATATGAGCACCGCAGTAGGTCCCGAGGGAGGATGCAGAGGTGTGCTGAGAAATCATTCAGGATTATTTGTTTCTGGATATGTGCATGGCAATGTTGGAACTGATAGTTAACCTCTCCTTCTGATGCAGTTAATTTAATTTTTGCTGATTGTAATAACCTCAACTCCAGTTAGTCAAGTTGTGCCTTTTTTTCTATCCAAAATAAAAAAAAAAATTGGTTCATTAAAAAAAAAAACACCCACGTACACACTAAAATCCCACTTTCTAAAAGAAAACATCTTTTTTTTTCTATTTTTAATAATTAGTGTTTGATTTTGCATTTGCACACTTAAGGTTGTTCATGAAACTGCTGAAATAATGTGCCTTTGCATTTTTCCAATCAGGGTTTGTACAATCTAACTGGACCAGCTGATTCAATTAGTCCGATCAGAAATTAACCTATGATTCAGTGAACCTATCAAGAATTGGTTAGAATCGGTCAAAATTGGTGTGAAACTAATTAAAATCAATTTACATCCGTTTTAAAAAAAGAATCTCAATAACCTAAACTTATATTATTTTGTGTTTTTATTTGTTTTGTAATTGATTTTTCTTTAGTGTTATATATATATATATATATATATATATATATAGAAGCTTGTCTTGGTATGATTAGGCGATTTATGTGACATATTTGATTATTTTGGTCATTTTCAATGGACAATCAATAGTTTTATTATAATTTTGGAGCAATTACTATAAATTTGACTTGTATGATAAGAATATGATTAAAATTATTTAAAATATTTTAATATTTTATAAATATTCTATAAATTTTATTCTTTTAATTTAGACCGATCGAATCACGATCTGACCATAGTTCAATGAACCACAATCCTGATTAGTTCGATACACTGTCCGGTCATGATAACATTACTTCCAACACAAATGAAAGTTTACTCTAATATTTATTGACAGAACCAATCTTTTATTGTTATATAGTTTTGACTACTAACTCTTGTTGGCCAATAAGGTTTCCGCTTTAAGATGGATTTAATTTAAAAATGAACCTTTATTATTTGTAATTTTATCATGATGGGGCTGGTATGTGGATGCTGACTACCATTTCCACCGCAAACTTACACTATTTGTAATTTTATCATATCCCCAAAAACAAATAAATAATATTTAAATAATGGAGCCCAGGAATCCCATATAACAAGTTGATAACAAATTATAATAAAAGACAAACAAATGTATTTCATCAATGGTTAAAATGTTATGGTAGTACTAATAGAACAAGTCAACATTTCTGGACTTGGATTGATTTCTTTTGTGTAGTAACTCCCAAATCACATTCACATGAATCTCAAATAACATTTATAATAATTTTTTTAACAAAAAACTTATATACTTAACTTTATATACTTAATATACTTGCTTTTAATTAAATCAAGATCCCTGCATTTTTTTATAAATTATTTATTCTTAAAAAATCTCTTGTTATTACTATTATTAATACATTAAAATTCACTTATTTGAATTTTGAATGGATAAAAGTGTATTACATATATAAGATTGAGTACTTAAATCTTGTTTGGCCTTATCAAGATACCCCATAGAGATATATTTTTTTATTGTAAAATAGAAGCATCAAAATTTATGTACATAGCTCGACTAATAAAATTTTAAAAATCCACTTGGAACTATAGATAAAAAAAATTAAAAAAAATTGACAGATTAATAATAATTAAATCCTTAATAAATTTTTTGAGAAATGATTTGAAAATACTAATTCAAATAATTACAAATTCAAGAGCTTCAACTGCATACATCACATTTAAGCTTCAAATGTAACTATCAAATTGAAATTAAGATTATTCTTTGTAACTATCTAAATTGGTACTTTCAACTCATTTTTAAAAAAAAAATATTAAAAACCTAACTATCATTAATTCACTCTTTTGAGATCTAATTATCATTTTTTCTTTAAAAAAAACCCTCCAAAGATACCAAGAATGGGGACAAACAGAAGCCATTTTCAAGTACATTAAAACTCACAACTATAGGCCATTTCCAAGTCCTGAATATGTAGTTACGTTAAATAAATACACCAAAAAATCCCCGAGATACTTATAAGGCCGCCAATTGATACAACGGCTCCACACAATGGGAGTTTAGATTAAGTCTGAGCAAGAAGTGATAATCCACAAGTTTTCTAGGATACGAAGTAATGGAATAACCAAAAAAGAGTAAAAATTAAAAAAGGACATATAAATAAGAACACCTATTAGCAAACCAATTGCAGCCTCTGCTTTTGTAAATCATCATGAAACTCCTGAAAATCATGAAAACACCTATACACTTTACCTTTTCCTCAAACAAATTATAAGAGAAAAATTTGGGTCACAGTAATATAATCAACTTGCTTTCGTGTTGACATGATCAGAGAAAAATTTGAAGGAGGATTTTCAACTTGTTCTGTTTAGATGTGAGAATTCTGGTGAATTACCCTGAAGCCAAAAGCCAAAGCATAATTAAAGATGAAATCAAAATTGTAATCCAGCTCATAAAAGCAAAAGCAACAGAAATCTGATACTTTTGGCATTCTTCTCCAAAATTGCAGTGTCCCAAATCATTGAAGTACAAAACTGTAATGCCAGCTGAGGCAGAAGCTGCTGCTAGAGATAATGTTGATGTTACCTGTGGACAACAGTTGAGAGGTAGGAATATGTCAAATGTTGAAAGCGATGAGCACACAACTCTGGCCACACGTTTACAAGGAAAGATGGGCCGTTTGGTACAGGGAACAAAAAGGAATGAACAAAAAAGCAAATTTTTTTTAAAAAGGTCATTTTATGGGCAGAAAATATCCCTTCATATACGCAAAAGTAATGACAAGACAGTTATCATTAACAAATCTCTTTCCGTTAAAGGGTGTTTCATAAAAAGAATTGAAAAGGCATTTCTTTTTCGTTGCATAAAAGCGTGGGAGGTGTGTGTGTAATATTTATATCAATATTAATGATTACTAAACAATAACTATTTATTTCATTTTATTTTTTTAATTCCAGGGAGGAGAAAAGACATTTTCCAAAGGACAAAATCCCTTTTCTTTTGTTTTTTGGGTTCAAATTTTCAATTTCATTTCATTATAATCTGTGTAACAAACAACCCCTTAGAATCATACAAGTTCGAAGAACAGCAAAAAGTTAAGCAGGGGCTAACCCAGTCTCCGACCACAAAGAGGCTAACCAGTATGGCATTGTGGATGACCTTCTTTCTCATCCAAGCATATGCATCCAACAAAGCAAGCACGAAACTCCATATGACTTGTAAACCCATTGAAGCTAGCAAGTAACTGTAATACAAGAGATTTTATGATGGAACTCTACTGCTAAACAGATAAATATGCAGAGATAATAGAGATTAATGACCAACAAATCAGGAGAAATACTGGGGTTTGATAATAATAATCCCAAAAGGCTGAATCAATGTTACAAAAGACACTTCAGCGATTCAAACAAACCCTATTCCCAAGTTACAGCCAGAACTCACAACATTACTATGGAACCCAAACACATGCAATGCTATCTAAGCATGCCCTCTGGTTTTTGAGAGCCAGTCTCTCCCTTGAACAAAACCCAAAAGTGATGACTCCTCCCCCCAAATGAAACTAACGGCTACTATAACCCAAAAGCAAAGTGCACAGTCTCCCACACCAAGTTCTGCTAAAGCAGACCTAAAACCACTATGAGTCAATACTAGGTTTGACTAGCTTTCTCCTTAAGAGTAAGGAGAGCAAGGTCAACGTTCTGCCCCTTAGAAAGATGCTTTCCCTTTTCTTGTATTTTTCTGAATCTCCTCTTATAGGTTTTTCCAGCAAAACAGAGTCTATCATTACCCTCCCCTAAAAGCTTCACCTTGTCCTCAAGGGGAAAATGTGGAAATTGCCTAGCAAAAGCAGCCGCATCCTCCCATGAATTCTCAAAGTCGGGCAGATCTTTCCACTTGACTAAAACTTCCAGCTGGCCGTTCATGAGTTTGCGAGCTTTACAAATGTCTTGAGGCTGAACTTGCAACTCCCATTCAGCAGAAAGAGCAGGCGGAATAGTTGGGATCACAGCAGTAGAGGAAATTGATTTTTTAAGTTGAGAAATGTGAAAGACAGGGTGGATTCTAGCTGTAGGAGGGAGTTCCAGCTTGTAGGCCACCTGACCAACCCTCTTGATAACTCTAAATGGGCCATAAAAGCGTGGGCTGAGCTTTTCATTGATCCTTTTAGCCAAGGACTTCAACCTGTAAGGTCTAATTCGCACATATACCATGTCACCCACCTCCAACTGTACATCACGCCTATGCTTATCAGCTTGCTCCTTCATTTTTTGTTGAGCCAAGTTC